TTGATCACTGGACTCAAAACTCTCTAAGCACATTGAAGATCACAGGATACATGGCCCGACCATAGAATGCAAATGTCAGAACTGGTCTCCATGGTTACTGAGGCTGGTGCAGTGGGCGGCATTCCCAGATGCTCGTGCAGGACATGACGACCAGTTCATTGAGGCCTGCAAAGGATGTCTGACACCATAAAAGGCAGAACAAATTAGACAGTTCTCCTGGTCAAGCTTTGACAGCGAGTATCTGGATGAGTCGAGATTCTAAGGTGGACTATTTCAGCCAATGGACCTTGGAAGGATTTCCTCAACCTTGGAGCAACAACGGTATCTCAGAACTATCAAAATCACTTAAGCAATACCCTTGGAACATGCTCCACATTAGGGACCCTAGGATGACATCGGGTGGCCTTCTCCTATTCCTGGGTACTGATATGGTTGTGTTGCTGAGAGCAGCCCTCTCCCTTTGTTTCTCCACATTCCCTAGATACCTGAAGAAAAAGGAGATTGGAGGCAGCTGTCTCATCCACTTTCACCATTCCCTGACCCTCCCGACCCTAATCAGTGGTCCACATGTACATGCATCCCTCTCAACTACATAATCATCATAAAAAGTAAAAGGAATTCAATTATTCCTGGCATGAGTAGGGACTGGGTCTGGGGTGTGCCAGACTTAGCCAGACTCCAGTACCCACTGGTACTCGTGAGAGCCAGGGTGAGTGTAGAACGGGCTGAGTTAGGTCTTGGCTCCCATTGAACCGCATGAGAGCTGTGTCTGGGCATGGACCAGGTATGGTTGGGCTGTTACTCCCAACAATAAGAACCAAAATGGGTATGGGCCAGTTGGATAAGGCCACTACTTCCACCAGTGTAAGAGGTGGACAAAATTAACCTGGATGAAGGATCCGTCAATGTATGTGAGATCTGCTGCTGGGAGACCTGATGGAGGGGCTTGCAAAACTCCTTTGTCAGGATGCAGTCCCTACAGGTGAGCACAATAACTAAGGCAGGGAACAGCCCAGACCAGGCCAGGTTACTATACCCATTTGGCATACATGTGGGTCAGGTCTGGGGTGGGCAAAATTGGGCCAGTTCACAAAATTCACTAGCAGATCTCAGAACCAGGACGGGGTGTAGGACAGGCTGGGATGGCCTGTAACACCAGACAATTCACATTAGGGCTGGGAATGGGAGCAATCCAGGCTGGGTTAGGCTGTATCACCCACCAGTGGGAGTTAGAACTGGGAGGAGGCTGGACCGAGTCAGGCTATAGCACTTGCTTGTGTATGCTGAGGTGAAGCGAGCCATGCCAGTCTGCACATGATAGGTTCTGTGTCCATGAGTCCTGGGAGCCTTAGGCAGGCCCAGGTCACCTGGCCCTGATCCTTGGACTGACCTGCAAGGTAGGTGCTGGGTCCATGAACCCTGAGGCCTGCCTGCACAATGGGTGCCAGGTCCATGAGCCATGGAGGCAGGGGCATCCAGTGGGCCCCAGGTCGCCTGGACCAGGTCCTTGCACCCACCTGCACAGCAGGTACTGGATCCGTGAACCATGGGTGTGGAGGGTCTGGTGGTGCCTGGGTCTCCTGGCCCAGGTCCATGGGCCTGTCTGTATGGTGGGTGTCAGGTCCAGGAGCCCTGGAAGTGGTGGGTTGGGCAGGGCCTGCATCACCTGGCATGGGTCCTTGGGCCTGCCTGCATGGTGGGTGCCTGGTTCATGAGCCCTGGGTGTGGGGGTTTGTGGCAGGGTCCGGAACTTCTGGCCTGGGTTCTTGGGCCTGCCTGAATGGTAGGTGTCAGGTCTGGGAGCCCTGGGTAGGGGTTGTGGTGGGGCCTGGGTTGCCTGACGTAGGTCCTTGGGCCTCCTACAAGAGCTAGTGTTCCTCAGTGGAAAAGTAGGCCATGATCATATGAAGGATATTGTGGTCCATTGGGGTCTACAGAGGACATCTGTACTATGCCAGAGGGAGGGCAGAACAAGTTGGACAACTACCCCAGCCAAACAAGGACAGCAAAAATCTTGGGAAATTAAGACTCTAAGGTGGACAGTGTCAGCCAATGGACATTCAAAGAGCTTCCTCTTTTTTGGATCAGCAAGAATGACAGCATTTCAGAACTATCAAAACCACTTGAGCAGAATCCTTGGAGCATGTACCACATCAGGACCCTGGGTTGATATCAGGTGGCTGCTCCCCATCCCCAGGTACTTGGGTGGTTAGGAGGCTGGGTATGCTTCTCCCCTTATCTCCCCCTTGTTCCCAGAAACAAAAAGAAAAAATAGAAGACTTGGAAACAATGATCACATCCACTTTTCCCTAACCCTGGAACTTTCCCACCTTGATCAACTATGTAAATATCATCAAAAAATGAAAAAAAAAAGGAGCCAAGTTTGCAAGAAAAAAAATTATCTAATATAGTCAATGGAAATAGCATAAAGTAAATAGTATGTTCTTTTGAAAAATATGAAGAATTGATCTAATTCATCTAATGTATTAAATTTATATGCAAAGTGCTGCAGGTAGTGTTTTAACTTTCTTTTCAGGATCATGGAATTAGTAGTGATGTTCTCTCATTTCTTTTTTTTTTTTTTTTTTAAAGATTTATTTTTATTATTTTTTCATTGGAAAGGCGGATATACAGAGAGGAGAGACAGAGAGGAAGATCTTCCGTCCGATGATTCACTCCCCAAGTGAGCGCAACGGGCCGATACTATGCCGATCCGAAGCCAGGAGCCTCCTCGGGGCCTCCCACGCGGGTGCAGGTTCCCAAAGCCTTGGGCCGTCCTCGACTGCTCTCCCAGGCCACAGGCAGGGAGCTGGAAGGGAAGCGGGGCTGCCGGGATTAGAACCGGCGCCCATATGGGATCCCGGGCGTGCGAGGCGAGGACCTTTAACCACATGCGCCACCGCGCCGGGCCCCTCTCATTTCTGATACTGGTAATTTGTGCTTTCCTTTTTCTTGGTTGCCTTGGCTAAAGCCTTACCAAATTGATTTTTTCAAAGAGCAAGCTTTAGGTTTCATTGATTTATTATTTTATTACTTTCAGCTTAATAAATTCATGTTATTAATATTTATTTCCTTTCTTTTGCCTTTAAAAAATTTTAGTGTGTATTTCTTTCCCTAGTTTCATGGATGAAAACTTAGGTTATTGATTTTAGCAGGAGGAATGGGGGGAGGAATGTATGTACTTGTTATCCAGAACTGGGAACATAGTAAATTTTCATATTTTTGCTCATGAATGATTAAAAAGTTTAATACATGTTGGTACAATAGCACCTATTTATTTTTTATCATACAGATGTATGTGTGTGTGTGTGTGTGTGTTAGCCTGAGTGTCCATAAAAGAGACCTGATACAAACACTTCCTTGTGAACACTTACTTAGAATGGTAATTTATATTGTGTGCTAAAATACTGACAACTACAGCGAACCAGAATTCAAAACAAATGATGTGCATGTGTATGGAGGAGTGTATTCTAACTTCCACCTGTATCTCTTAAGCCGATGCAATACCTCAAATACGACATGAACATGCAAAGTGAAGAATATAATGATTTTATTGAAAGTCAAAACATCAAATTTTTATAAATTTCACATAAACATGTAGCCATGTGAACACACAAAAAGAGCCCAAAAGAGAAAGGTGTCCAACTCTAAGCGGTTAAAGACAAGACAGGTGCATGTTAAGCCTTCAACATTTTTTTAACATCAAGATTTTTAAATAAGCTGGCTTTCCTAGCATTTATTCTCATACAACTGTTTCAAGCTAGAACAATTTATTGAATTCAGACATTAATGGGTTCTATTTAACCCATTATTTGGAAAATATGTCACATGTATTCAGATAAGATTTTCTGTGGCTTTTCATTTTAAATTCCCAGATTCTTGTGCATCTACAACAGCTAGCAGTGTGGAATGACTTATCAGTAGGCATTTACATTAATGGAACGAATTGCAAGTTTTCTCTGTTAGAGAAGCCAAATAATAAAGCTTGCTTGGTTTGAGGCATATTTGGCGATAAAAGACTAAGAACATGACACTTGCTTTTTTTCCCTACAGTTTATATCAGACTAGATGGGCTCTTAAGCAGTTACTCTGGCTCACAGATCTAGGGTGGCCAGATCAAAAATACAATGCCTCTAGCTGCCTTCTACATGTGGTCAGATAACTACATTGCGAAGAGGATCCACTCACTGCTGGCCATGAAGACAGCCAGCAGTTTGTCTGTTTCAAGAAAGTCTTCAGCTTTTTAAAGAATAGACATTTCCCCAAAATAGAATTTCAGGGAAGTGTAGAATGAACAATCCTGTTCGAGTTTCAAGGTTGTCAAAATTATTTTCTATATGCTGAGATGTTATTCACACATGTATAGACTACATGCAAATAGTCTATTTTTTTTGTATTTCAGAGTTTTTTTGCAAAAGCAATTCTAGTTATTTATAATATATAGCAAAGCTTATCTATCTTTGGTTCTATGTCTCAGAGATATATTTTTCCAAAAATAAATAGGCATGGCAATAAAAATAATTCAACTATCTTACGAGAAAACTGAATATCTTATAAAAAGCGAAAAATATATAATTGCTGTTTCTTAAATTTTTTCTACTTATCTTGCTTAATATTTACTAACAGTGCAATTTTAATATTAAAATGACTGTGCACACTGTATTTACCTATACAGAACAGAAACAAAGACATCATAAAACTAAGTAGTGCTTTTCTTTAAGAATCACTAATGCATTATGCATTCTAAAATTGCATGGAAAAGCAAAGTTGCTGAAATAAGCTGGCAAAATTGACTTTGAAATGAATCACAACAAAGAGTAATGAAGATGTAGTGCTACCCAGAGATCCCGGAGATCCCAAGGGGGGAAAAAAAAACAAAACAAAGAGAGAACACGTTACTCAAAGTCTCACATTTTCAGAAACTGCATACATGTCGTTAATTTTCTGAGTTTTTTTAAAGAACATCGATGAAAGCATCTTACAATTTGGACTCAGAAAATTTAATGAGTTTCTGTTGTTGATGGTTTCCGTCTTTTCTCAGATAAGATTTTCGAATCAAACAATTCTCTTTCCCTATAGCCTAGAGATGGTCCTTTTAGATACTTTGCTTCTGCTGCTTTGTAATCTAACCCATCAACAGCAGAGATTGAACAAATAATAGCTTCTGGCAGAAGAACTTCCAGGATAAATTTAATTTTATCATGTTGTATGAGGCTCATCATTTTTTCATCTACTTGATTGCAGACTTCTTGTAAGTATTTCACCACCTCATCCAACTGATCATCATCCTCTAAGTAAGTTTCAATACAGCGTGAGAATCTCTTTGAATTCAAAAATGATTTCAGCCATCTGGATCCCTTAGTGCCATTTAAAATGGACTGAAGATGGTTCTCTGTTCCCTTTGCATTAACAATGAAGTCCACAAGGTTTTTGTTGGCTCGGTCCCGTGCAGCCTTCATCCGGTCTGGAAGAAGTTTCTGGAAAGACATTTTCTTGGTCTTAGAAGTCACAGCCATGGGTCCCAACACATCATCATCATATAATTTTGGAAATATATTCCTGAAGGTATCTTGTTTGATTATCTTTCTAACTGGATAACTAATATCAGCAGCATAATACTCAAAGAAAGAGCCTGCAAATGAACCACAACCTATTCTAACTCTGTAGTCACAAATCAGTGAGATGCACCAGTCAATACTTTCACTGTAAGCTTCCCTGGCTTTTTCCACTAGTGTTTGCTTCTCTTTACAATCAAATTTCTTTAATCTTCTGAAAGATACTCTCATGCCTTTCTTTTCGGGAGTCATGTTTGCCTCAATGAAAAGTATACTTGCTTTCCTTTCCTTTCGCCTGATGCTTTTTACCACTGCTGGCCAATAGGGGTATTTTTGATATTTAAACCAGACTATCATTCCTGTTTCAAAGGGACGTTTCTCATATTGAAAAATGACACGTGGAAGTTCTTCTTCTTCCTCATCTTCAGCTGACATGGAATCAATGATAGAACTTAGGCGCAATGACCTTTCAGAAGGTGGAAATTCATCAAAATCATCAAAATCTAGTCTGTTGAAATACCTTTCATTACTTACAGGGGCAGGATTAGAGGCACTAGAAGAGCCCTGGCCATCCTGCGAACAATCTCCAGTAGACGTTGAGGCACCCACTCCAGTAGAGGTTGAAGCACCCACCTCCGGTTCTACAGAAGGGTGATTCTGGCTGGGATCTAAGCATGGATTTGGATTTGAGGGACCTTCTCCAGGATCTTCAATATTCTCTGGGGAGATAGAGGAAACAGCCAAGGGCTCTGAGCACACATCTTCTGACTCCTCTTTCAAAGCTTTGGGCATCACAGGAGCATCTGATGACAATTCTGGAACAAACTTCTCTTCTTTAACATCCTCTTCTTTGACTGTGGAATGAATAGATATAAGACATATGTCAATCTTTTTCTTGTCTTCTTTCTCATCTTCACCTTCCAGAAGTGAAGGGAAAGTTTGGCTCCAGCTAGAGCTTAGTGACGGCTTTGTTTCCATTTCACTTGAAATGGTTGTGTGCATCTGTGGCTTGTCATCAGACAGGGTGCCACCATTATCTGGAGATACTAACGAGGATGCTGGGCTGCCACTTTGCTCCAAACATATTGGTAAGTCTTCTTCATGCTTGCGATACTTTTTACAAGGGGGTGAATTGGATACTGTTGGTGGTACATCTTCAGCCAGGGTACTGGGCACTTCTTCATCTGAAACACTTGCTTGACTCAAATTTGGCCTCTCGTTCAGAATATCCAGTGCCAGTTTAAGTGACCTTCCATAGGCTGTCTCCTCGTAAGGTAAACCACTGGCATCTCCCTGCACTGCTAGTGAGGAAGCAATGGCTTCTATCTGAGACTTATTTAGGAGCTTTGTTTCTGTGCTCTCTACTATAATTTTTTCTCCCAGTGAGAGTATTTGAACTTCCAGGGAAAATGTCTGTTTTCTCTTACTGCTTGATGATATTTCACAACTGGACACAACTTTTGCTGGCCACAACTGGTCTTTCCAATTGCACAGGACATACTCACCATCCATTATGATTTAGATATGTGTATGGATGGTTTTTTTTTTTTTTGTCAGGGATTGAGGTGGCTAGCTAGCCCTGTCCTGATAATTCAGGTTCTACCACAAATAGCACTCCTAACAAATCCTTGCTGGTTTGAAGATTACAAAGAGTCACAGTTTGTGTGGACTGTTCTTTTCCACTTCAGTCTCCAAAAGATACTTGAACACGTTGTTTGGTACAATCCTAGAAGACACAGAAATAGGGAAAATAATAACATCAGCAAACAAAATGATTCTGTCAAAGTAGATGGTGAACAATTGCTGATAGTGTAAAGGTAAGTGAGAATGTTAAGTACAGCATTGGACAGAAGGGAGGAAAAAATGTGCAAGCAGGCAATCAGAACTAGAAACATGGTTTTGCAATGTCAAAGTCAAGACCTCGCCCTCATCACTGTGCATCTTTACAAAGGCGTGCATGTGCATACACACCAGCAGAAGTGGGAGTACTTGTGGGGTTGCATTGGGGACTCTGTATATGTCATTAAATACTTTGGTACCTTTGCGGCCCTATTGTATTTAATGGCTTTGTCTCTCTAAATTTACCATACATCAGAATCGTCTGGAGGACTTATTGGATTTCTAGGCTTCTTCCGAGGAATTTTATTCAAATTTGTATTGCAATCAAGATTAGTGAAATAGATCAGTCCCAAAAGATCAGCTGCAGTATGTTTACTCTCTGATATGTGGGAGTGAAAATAGAATACAAAAAAAAAGGTATAGGAATAAAATGGGCATCTTAGTATTTGTTGTTTTTAGCTCTTGGTTGTATTTCTGTGAAACTGTGGTCTTTCTAGTTTTTACTGGTAAAATATTTCAGTTGCTGGTGCATTAAGCCCATAATTAGAGTGGGTAGAAAGTATGTTTTTGCAAAAATTAGAGCAAAAAAGGAAGGAAAGAGGGGATCTAGGGAGGGAAAGGGGGGCAAGAGAGAAGTATCACTATTTCAGAATCATACTTATGAAATACATGAAATCTGTTCTCTTTATATTAATAAAAACGTAAAAACCTGACATTTATTGAAGAGAAGACAAGGCAAAACTACAAAAAGAACCTCAAATTTTATAGTTCTAATAAGTGCCCAAATGATTGTGATGCTGAATGTTCAAAAACTTTTAAGAAGGGCCCAGCGTGGAGCCTAGCAGCTAAATTCCTTGCCTTGCATGTGCCGGGATCCCATACGGGCACTGGTTCGCATTCTGGCAGTCCCGCTTCCCATCCAGCTCCCTGCTTGTGGCCTGGGAAAGCAGTTGAGGACGGCCCAAAGCCTTGGGACTCTGCACCCATGTGGGAGACATGGAGGAGATTCCTGGCTCCTGGCTTCAGATCAGCACAGCTCCGGCCATTGTGGCCACTTGTGGAGTGAGTCAACAGATGGAAGATCTTTCTCTGTTTCTCCCCCTCTCTGTATATCTGACTTTCCAATAAAAATAAAATAAATCTTAAAAAAAACTTTTAAGAAGCAATTTTGTTTTGCTGAACACACAATTTTATGATTTTTAAGCTGTGAGTGCTCTGCTGCTCACTCAAAGGAGGCAGACAATGATGACATAGTATATGTCTCCTGGACCCGGAAAACATTATAATGACACTGTTAAAGCACAAGTTTAAAGCAGAAAGCCAAAATGACTGCTGTGATCATTTATTTTTAAAAGATGCATTTAAGTATTCAATTGAAAAGGGGTCTGGGCTAAGGCTGAAGGTAGGAGCCAAGAACTCCAGAAACTCTCTGCTGGTCTCCCAAATCAGTGGCAGGGGCTTAAATCAAATACTTGGGTCATCTTCCAATCCCTTTCTGGCTGCGCTAGTAAGGAGTTGATTCAGAAGAAGAGCACCCCAGATAGAATTGGCACTCTGCTATGGGATGCTGGCACAGTGCAAGTGCTGGCTTAACCCGCTGAGTTACAAAGCTGACCCCTAAGGCTGCTTACTGAATAATAATCAGGGAATAGAAATCAGATCACTGGCTGGAACATCAGAAAGGTTCTAGTATGATCTCTTCACAGTGACTTAGTGCATGAGCCTCTTTCTTTGCTTTTGTTAAAAATTACATTTCATTTTATGACAGAGTTTCATAGGCTCTGGGATTCCCCCAGCCCCTCCCAGTACCCTCCGCTCATGGTGGATTCCTCCACCTTGTTGCAGTATTAATGAGTCTCTTTCTAAAAACTAAAAGTTATGAGTTTTAATCACAAAGCGTTACACTGCTGAGGAATAGAGGAGAAAATACCCTGCATTCTCAACACAATATAATTTTAATATGCAATGTGATATTCAATTTAAAATGCTATACCTGGAATTAGCATTGTGGCACTGCAAGTTAAATTGCCACCTGTGATGTCAGCATCACATGATGAGCACCTATTTGAGTCCTAGCTGCTTCACTTCCCATCCAGCTCACTGTTACGGTCACCCACAGGGGACCTCTGTGCAGTTCCACGTTCCTTGCTTCAGCCTGATTCATCTCTTTCCCTCCCTCCCTCCCTTTCTCTCATTCTCTCCCCCTTGTGCTTCTGTGTGTGTGTATATGCACCCCTCTCTGTAGTTCTGCCTTTTCAATAATCTTTATTTTATTTTAATGCTATGATTGTAGAAAAAGGAGAAAAAGACATCATCTCCCAAATTCTCAACATGAAATGAAAACTCTTACCCTCCGTCAAGGCTGATTGTGGTGGGTCTGCTCCAGTTACTCCGCAGTGCCTTCACTGTACGCGGCCCTTCTGTGGGCACACAACCTTCCTGGAGCTCAGCTGGAGTCACATGCACACTGCCCAGGTCATAGGTGTCTCAAAGACTTGTTCTAAAGGAAGAGAGTGGTAAGTCTATTTAAATGGAAAACTGTAAAGAAATTTTAGTACAGGAAAATTCTACAGGGATCTCATTGAGAAACACAGGAAGAAGCTGAAAATATTCTGTGCTGTGTATGCCTTGTTTGTTGTCCTTCCACTCTAAATGCTCTGTGCGACACAGCCAGTGTATATTCATGCTGAAATCATTGCTCTCAGGAAAAACATCATGTGGAGACATGAGAGGTACACTTATCTTGTGTCTACTGGAAGTCAGATTCTAGATTTTTTGTGGGAATCCTTACAGCAGGAGCAGGTAGATTTTTCTTTCACACACATTTTAATGTAAACTCAATTACAATGCATATATGATCTAGTAGTTCACTAATAATTTCTCTTTTTTGCATTTTTAAATTATATTTTGACAATCTTTACATAGTTAATTGGGGTAAAAAGGTTCAAGAGCTATAGGAAAGTGGGTAAGACTATTATTTCCATATTGTTTCCTTCATGTTTAAAAGTGGGGTATTAAGGGAGAAGGCCCACCCAATTTCCCACCCTCCCCAGGTCCCGGATGTAGGGTATGCTCTGAGGTTCTTGCTCTAGTGGCTTTGATATTTCAACAGTTATGAATCGCTGCCAATCTTGCCACTCCAAGCACTATGAGGTCCTTGAAGAATCCACTGATTGACATAGTCCATCATTGCTGAGATGGTTGGCTGACCTGTTCTGTCTTCTCTCTTTTCTTGATTCTGACTCCAGCATTTTGATTGGGGAGATCTCCAAAGAAACTTTGTCTGAGGCGTTCTCAGACCAAATTCTTGTATGTGCTAGCAAGTACGGGGAACGGCACAGTCCATCGCCCCAATCAGCTGGTGGTTGCAATTGCTGGGTTGGTTCTGTTTTCAGACCCGACTTCCACTGGAACTAATGGGTGTTGCAGTCCAGCCTGGTTCTACCCAGCACATACTCAGCCCACGCATAAACCAGTGGGAGCTGCAGCTTAGTGAGAGCGACCCACAATAACCCCCACCAGGCCCGCCCCCTACCCTAGTTTGCCAGTATGTGTAGCAGTAGTCCAGTCTGTCCCACACCCCATTCCACCCCAGCTGCTGTCCTAGTTTTATGCCCTCCCGTGGAAGTGGTAACCCAAGAGGGAGGAGCCCACTATTTTCCTCCCAGGCCTCTCCCACTCCCAGATTATGCACTCTCCAGATAGTTCTGTGGTTTGACTTGACAGAACTAGCCCCCAGTGCCAGCTTCTGCCAGCTGATGCTGTGGCTAAGCCCAAACAACCCTCGCCCACTCTAATTTTGTTTGCACCAGTAGGAATAATCAGCCCAGCCTGGCTTTTCCCTGATCTAGTCCACATGAGGCCCACAGGTGTTATAGCCCTGTTTAGTCTGGTCTGCCCCCATCCCAACCCACGCTCTCCAGCGGGAATAGCTGTCCAGCAAAGGAACCACCCCTTATTCCCCTGCCGGCTCTGCCCCCTCCCTTCCTTGTTCTCACACTTGGTGGTTGGGTGCTGTGGTCATTTCCGGTACAGGTAACCTCCTCTTGGCATTCCATATTGTGCACTGGTTTTTGTTGCGACTGAACCTGGCTCGACCCACACTGTTCTGGTGCTTGGATTTGCCAGTGGATGACGTGGACAGATTCAGCCTGGTCTTCCCCCGATCCCTGCCAATTGTATGCCAGTGGGAAACTTTCCATGGCCTGTTCTGGGCTGTTTCCTATCATGTTTCTTGCGCTTACCTGCCGGGTCTGTGTCCTGCCAGAGGAGTTGCCCAGGCTCCTCCATCAGAACTTTTCCCAATGCCAGATTTTGTGCATAGCAATGGGACCATGAGACAGCCCTACTCAGTTCACCTCCTGTCATAGCAGGAACAGTGTCTTTTCCTTATTGGCCTTCAACCCAATCTGATTCTTGCTGTTGGATGTTTCAGCCCAGCCATGGCTCATCCATACCCACATATGGCTCACATATGGTTCAGTAGGAGTTGAGACCTAGCCTAGTCCGTCCCACATCTACCCTGGTCCTCCAGGAAACCAGACGGTGTTGGGGTCTGACCCAGCCTGGTGCATACAGTCCCCATCCACATTTGTGCCAGGGGAGACTACAACTGTTTTCTGATCAGAACGCAGCCCCCATTCCAGCCCATGCACCCCTTGGTGGGAACCTTA